AACTCTGTTACTATAAATATATATATATATATATATATATATAGAGAGAGAGAGAGAGAGAGTTATATAGTTATATCTGTATAATGGAGGGAACTTCAGAAAGGTAGACAATACCTCTTTTCCCCTGGGCTGGATATTGCTTTTAGCTCATGTTTTTGCAGACACTTCATGAATGGAGAAAAGAAAAATGATTTCTAACCATACTTCAATGGACTTTAAAATATATCAAAGAGCGGCTCATAAAGATATACAGTAGTTCATTGATACAAAATTTCTAAACATTTTATGGCTAAAAGATATAGACGAAAAGGCATCCATAATGACTAAAATGCATGCTTCTGGTCCTCAGTAAATCCCCTTTCACTCCTGGTTAGCTCATCAAAGTACCTCAGAGACCCCAGAGAGATGGAATAGAAAAGACAGGGCTAGGGCTAGCCGTGAGTAGGACTTTGTCTACACTTTGCCCGTTCCAGACACTGCAGTAGCTGCACTGGTAAACCCCTAGTGCAGATGGGTAAAGCCACTGTTTGTATCAGAGGAACTTCCTCTTGCTTGAAACCAGGGTAAGCAGCGCCGGTGTGAATAACGTGTCTACGCTAGGGGTTTGCATCAGTGTGGCTGCCTAATGTAATCATGGCAAATCCCTAGTATACACAAGGCCCAGGACTGAGTACAGGTAATGCAAAGCCGACAGACAGGTTGGAAACCCTGCGCCTTATCTCAGCTATATCTGGAGTTATTCTGTTGACTTCAGTGTCAACTTCCCATCCCTACTGTGACTATAAAGCCCATGGGTCAGATTATCAGTTTACACCAGCTGAGGATATGACCCTAATTTTAAATATTCCTCTTACTTGTTTAGCTAATACCACCTCAGGGCCTGATCCATATTCTATTGGGCCATAACCATATTTCTATAAAGAAGATGGGGCGTAAGGTCACAAAGAGACCCTGCAATTTCCACTGTGTTGAGCTGAAATCAGGGCATGTAAGATTGCTCATATCTCAGTGAAGAGACATGGGCCCTGATTCTGAAGCCTGGCCTACACTAGAAAGGGTTTGTCATTATAGCTATACTGGGAAAGCCCTCCTAGTGCAGATGGTGTTTTTGCTGGTGCCGTTTATACTGGTTCCCCACGTGAAATAAGTTATACCAACAAAAGCATTCTCTTGCCTTGCTTACACTAGGGTTTTGCTGGTATTAAAGTGTGGTAAAAAACAAAATCATCCCCGTCCTCGCCAAACAAAATTACTACGCTGGCAATAGTGTCTAGTGCAGATAGACCTCTGTGAATCCATTCCTGAGCTGAGCACAGGAATGGAGCAGGGTGCAAAGGTGGCTTTAAGCTATGTCTGTGATCCCTGTATCCTGGGGACTTTCAGAGGCTGACCCAGGCCCTGGTATCAGAGCAATGATCTTCAGTGTAGTAGGGCACGCGTCGGCCAACAACTTTAAGGAAAGGTAACAGGGCCGGAATCTGCTCAATTAAGCCAGTATAAATCCAGAAAAACTCCAGAGGTTTCGGTGGCATTACTCTGGATTTATACTGGTGTAAGTGAGAGCAGAATTTGTCTCTGCTGTAGAACGTACTAGAGACAGACATAGAAGGGGGAAAAATACATTTTAAAACAGCTGATTCGCTTTCATTGATGCTTAAGACAAACCTCATTTCAGAGGATTATTAGCGAAGGACAACTGTAAAGACAAAACGATACAGGATCTCATTAAAATGAAAATGCTGAAATAAATGGGTAATTTGGCATTGATTCCACTCCCCACCCCCTCACTCTGAAAGCCATTTTGTATTAAAAGTTACATGGCTGCAGGATGATGCGCCAACATCTGTTATTGCTGAAATAAAATGATTTGCTTGGGTTTTCCCCCCCCCTCACATTCTTCTAACATCTGCATGTGTAGCTCTCTCCTGTATATTAATCATTTCCAACACTGATTGCTCATGTGCTGGAATAATGCATCAAAGAATATGGAATTCTGTCTTCATTTAGGCAACTGAATATTTTGGTCGGAGATTAAAGTTTCTATATTCCTATCCACCTACACTGCCTGCCAGGTGATTATTGTTTACAAAAATGAACATGGTGGGTGATATACATCCCTATGCAGAGGGCCCACATCCTCAGAGGTATTTAGGCACCCAATGCCCATTGAAATCAGTGGGATTTAGCTGCCTAAATACTTTTGAGGATCTGGCCTCAGTCTCACATGAAACATAAGGGGTGCAATAGGCCTTAAGCTGGTCCTCTTCATAGAAGTTAATTGCACCTTATATGATTAGAACAAAGCAAATAATTCACATCCTTCTCTGCTCTCAGAATGCTTGCAGACAGACTGCAATTTCCTCAAACATACTTATTGCTGAAAGCATTCAATTTTTGTTGTTGTTCTTGTTGAACTCTATGGATTGATCCAATTGACTGCTTGAAAACAGTCCTCTGTGAGTCTTAGCTATTCCTACTTTTTCGGTTAGCTGTGATTGGTCAGATAAAAACCATGGTATTGGTTTGCTGTGATTAAACATTTCTGAAACAAGCACTTGCACATGACAGTTTAGAATTCTGTTTCCCCTGAATGGATTTGTAAGTGTGACTTTAAAATTCACTCTCTGCCAACATTTGCATCAGTAAAACTCAGCAGAAAAAATGTTCCCAGGAAGCAAGTGCAAAAAGTTCACACTGGGTCTGAAAATAAATCATTTAAAAATTCAAGTGAGTAGCTGCAAACATTTTATTTTATTATATGTACCAAGCTCTAGTTATGATGCATTTTAGTGTTACCTTCCAACATCCAAACTATGACCCTGATTCAGAAAAGCACTAAGTCCATCCCTATTAAAATTAATATTAAAATTAAAATTAGGCATGTGCTTGTGTCCCATTGACTCCAGAGAGAAGGAAGCACTTTCCAATGAGAAGTAAAAGCTTTCATAAATAAGGAGGCTTTGCTGACTTGGAGTATGAGTATATATCTATATTTTCAGATTTATTTCAAAATACTGCAAAGGGAAAAGAATTGTGGTTCTATTTGCTCTTGATATACGTTTATAATGGCTTCTGACCTTTACAATTGTTCTTTAATCTGTGCTTGAAGTCAGAAAACAAAAATTAAAATACTAAAACTATGGCTTTTATTTCAGGAATGTGCCGAAAAGTATTGGGTACACAAAAGAAGGTCTATAGTGTAGTAATTCTGCATGCAGAAATAGAGTACCCAGGGTGCACAGCAGATGGTTTCAAAGGAAATCCTCGAGAGCTAGGATTAAAAAGCAATTTCCAGCAAGTTTAAAATGGGTCTCCATATTTGGGTCACAGAAATTAACTCTTTCAGTGTGAGCGATGGGAATGTTTTGTTGGATTATCTGTCTGTATAAACTACCAGCATGCCCTATGGAAAAGGAAAATTTAGGGGAACATGAATTTGTGTTGCCTCCATTTGTGTTTTATCACGCTTTATAGATACACAATAGTCACACTCAGACTCAGGGTTTTGTTTGGAAATAAGGATTGCACATGTGTGTGGAAGACAATTCCATATTTTCTGAAACTTGAATACATTTTGGAGGGATAGTTAGGGATTTAAGAAAAATAGTTTGGCTGCTAAAGAAGAGGAAACATGGTGCCATGCAGATACTCTTCCTGGCTGCACCAGTTCAAGTCAGTGGCTTGACGTGACTGCCAACAGTATGAGTCTGAACATACAGAGATATCAGTCTGTTTCAGTTAGAAGTGAGTTAACGAGGAGCTGCAGATCAGCTGGGTGCTTTGTACTCTGAGGTCAGCAGAAGATACTGGGCCAGTTCCTTAGCTAGCAGCTCCATCAAGATCACTGAGTCTACACTAGTTACACCCGCTGAGAATATGGCTCACGACCGATTTTAAAATAGGCCTAATTAGGAGCCTCATTCACTTTTTCACTAAGATAGTGTAACGCTCCAGCAGCGTAAAGGAGTCTTAAAATGGATGTAAATTACTCTTACATCCCCTTTAAGGCCCCTTTATGTTGCTGTAGCACTGTAAAGGGGCCTAATCTAAATGAAAATTGGGCCCTAGACAACATTCAGTACTAAACAATTAAATGTAGCAACTGATATTGTTTTATCTTGTCCATAAAGCTAAATCAGGCATATTTTGAACAGAGCTGGAAAGTTCTCTGAGCAAAGGTGCCTGACGCTTTGCTAAGTAAATTATAAAAACAATTGCTGGTTTAAATTTCAGCAGGGGAAGGAGTTAATTGCATTGCACTTTGGCTATTATGTAAGGTACATGTTAACAACAAAGTACAATGTACTGCTGAAAGGGCATTGTAACTGTCCCGATGGGATGAGTAATTGCAGGTATTTTAACAAAGTTAATTAACAATCCTAAATTTTCTTTTTCCTCCAGAATTGATCTAAGATGGATATCAAAGACCCTGAAATGTCTTATCTACTATTCAGAAGGGGGAACAAAAGAGTTCAGATGATTGACAAAGTTACAGTTATAAGGTATCTTTCAAATGCCCTATGCTGCCATTCTTGGGCCAGTTCTAGAATTGTTCAGTAGGGCCACAACTACTTTTACCGTGGTCTCTTATAAGTGCATGTTCTATTGACTTAAATGAGACATTTACTTTTGTCTGGCCTCAAATGACCAGATCTAAAGAGTTTCACACAGTACTTCAGATTTCTATTCTATTCAGGTTGTCACACCACAATGATAAGTGCAGTATATGAGTGCTTGATGATACCATGTTGTGTCCTTCACTGGAAGAATCAAAGGAATAATCTTTCTACTTAAAAGCTCATAGTATGACTAGAAATGTGTTAGGTTCAATTTAAACTATAGTAGGTCTTGCCAAACACAAATAATGCCCTCATTTACTTATACCTTTACCGCCTTATTGTTCTCAAGGGGGCCAGATTCTGATGTAAGTTACACCAGTAAAACTCCAGATGAACTCCACTGATGTCAATTCCAGTTTTACATCAATATAAATGAGATCAGATTTTTGCTGTGAGTTTTCAAGTGTTTATATCTTGCAAGAGAAGGCAGACTGGTTTGAAACAGCTTGTTCTTTTTAATAAGGTCTGTCTTTTGAAAAAAAATCTTAGAAGATTCTATTAAGTGCCTTGAGAGAAGGTTTGAGCCAAAGCTCATGGAAGTCAATGGGAATCATTCCATCGGCTTCAGCAGGTTTTAGATTGGGCCCTGAGTGAAGAAGTTAGCATTGGAGTTACAGCGACAGAGTGAGTCTATTTTATTGATTTTTCACCAAACTGTGCAGCCAAATGTTGAATACAGCAAAGAACTTCTAATAAAGGGAAGAATCCTATTAGTCAAACTGTCTGGGTCATTGCCTGCCTCGTAGAGCTGTAAAATATTGGTACTGCACTTGGTTTATTAGGCTGTTTGTGCATCATTTGTTTTCACTTAAAACAGTGATTCTCAGGCTAAATCGTTTCAGTTGCATGCAGCTCTCCTAGAGCCTACGACCCACTATAAGGGTGAGAGTGATCTCAGGCAGTGCAAGTAGAGCACTGATCTATAAGCACTTCCTCTGCTGCTCACGCGCAGGGGTACTGAGCCCCTTCTGCCAGGAGAGCAGCACTTCCCCACCACTCCCTCCCTCCACAACTGGAATGGGGAATGAATGACTGAGAATCTCACCTGCTGCTTTCTATAGAGCAGTGTAGGGAACTATTAGGTTGTCGTGTCCCAAAGGGTACGTCTTCACTACCCGCCAGATCGGGTAGTAGATACACAATATCGGCGGGTAGTAATCGATCCCTGAATGCACTCCCCGTTGACTCCGGAACTCCACCAGAGCGAGAGGCGGAAGTAGAGTCGACGGGGGAGCCGCGGCCGTCGATCCCGCGCCGTGAGGACCTGAGGTAAATCGATCTAAGATACGTCGACTTCAGCTATGCTATTCTCGTAGCTGAAGTTGTGTATCTTAGATCGATTCCTCCCCCCCCCCACTCCCCGCGCAGTGTAAACCAGCCCAAAGTGGACTCATACTTTCCCCAGCACACGAAAGGTCTAAGTTCTCCTGTGAGATACACAAGTGTGGCTCCCACTGAAATCAGTAATAGCACTGCAGTCTTCTGAAGGCTACAGTTTTGCCATAGCTCTTTATAATGTTTGAGACGTGTTCTGAAAAGCGTAGCATCAGGAAAGTTGGAAAGGCTCAATTCCATTGAGTGGTTTAGGATTACTCCCTATTTAGAGCTTAAGGTAGTGTGGTGTATTCAAATGCATTGTTCTGGGTGGATTACTGAAAGCACTAAAGTATTCATCTCAAGACCATGAATTCACATGTAATGTGACTAGTTAAGAATGGGTGAAAGATCATATGCTGATGAATTTGTGTTTTCCTCCTACATAGACTTATATGGACTGCTTTATTGATGGCACTTTGAGTACTGAGATGAGGAAGAGGAGATAATGAACACTTGATTCTTCTCTGCAGGTCTCTGTTGCTTACCGTTGGACTTGGACAAACCTAATCTGTGAGGATAATTAAAGTTCCCTCACTCTGATTGCTGTAAGTGGAGTCTTAGGCCTTGTCTACACTTAAAAATTAAATCGACCTAGCTACATTGCTCCGAGCTGTGGAAGATTTTCACTCCCTATGCTACGTAGTCAGGTTGACTTACCCCCCTGTGTAGTCGAGGCTAGGTCAATGGCAGAATTCTTCTGGGCAAGAAGAGGTGGATTAACTATGTTGATGGAAAAACTCCTTGAGCTGATGTAGGAAGTGTCTACACTAAGCTGTGCTGCTGAAGTGTAAACCTATCCTTGGTTTCATGAAACTTATTTGGAGCCTGTTTGCCCTATACAGGGAGAAAAGTGAAACTGCCAAAGCACAAGCAACTGGCAAAAATGATAAAGTGAGCGCCAATTTGTTATCTAACTGCACATGTTGTGAGTGATTCCTTAACGGCATTTTGTAGCCAGAGAAAAAAACCCAACCCTGTTGACAAATTGAATAGCACAGTTCTAATTGTGAATTGTCAGTAAAGATAGCAAATGTAACAATATTTTGAAGGATACTTTCATCAGGATTACAGATGGATTATTTATCTCAGCATGGTAGATGGGTTCTGCTGTTGTTATGTGTATTGCATTTATTTCAGAACAGCTACTAGCATTCCACTGTCAGTTACAGTTAGACAAAAGTGTCACCTGACATAAGAATATCATTAATAAATATTTAGCCTTGTTCTGGCTCAGAAATGCCTCTTGCAGGATTTCAGGTAACAAGGACATGAACATGCAATTATAGGATTTGCAATTTTGCTAGAGTCTTAAACAGCCAGAATGTTTTCAGGTCCACTTCACCCCAATGAGCTGAAGTGCCTACAGATAAAAAACACATCCTGCCCACCTAAAGGAAGGTATTATTACCGTCAGAGTCGAACACATCCACAGGTGCAATTTGTTCTACTGATGATTGATCAAATCTCAGGAATGCTAAGCATGGGCAATATTCTGGGCCTGTGCAACAGGAACAAACAAAACTAAACGTGTGCTTTAAGACTGATCTCTGGAGATATGTACATGCTCAAACAAGTGTGTACTTCCAAATATTATAGGAGGTTATTTAGTATGGTAGTCATAATGGGTATACCCCATAGCTGGGGTTATCATCATTACCTTGCACATCTATGTCATCAGGCAGGTACTAAATTTGCCCTTTTTATGTTGTCTTAGGACCTGATCCAAAGATCACTGAACTCCCATTGACTTGAGTGGGCTTAAGAATCTGGCTCCTACTCACCTTTCTGCACAAATCAACTGTGAATGCTTTAGGGTGTCTTGGAATAGTGGAGGGGGTATTTATTATGAATTTACAGGCTTTTCTAGGGCACATTTATCCTCACAACATCTCTAAGTCACAAAGGAAGTCTGTGGCAGCGCTGAGAAGGAAAGTCCCATCTGACATGTCGATTCAGTGCCTTAACCATAAGACCTTCCTTCTTCTTGAGAAGCCCTGGCACTCCTAATTTTGAAGGGTGATTGAAATCCCCCATTAATGTTAATCACACAGCAAGCTAAAGGCTTGATTCTGCAAACACCACCAAACATAGTGCTTACTATTGTGAAACCAAAGGGATTGCTCAAAGCAGTCAATGCTATGCTAGGTAGTGATCGCTTCCAAAATTGGGCGGTGAATTGACTTTTACAAAACCGGAATATTGTTTCGCTCAAATTGTGCACTCATCATATAAATAGTGGGCCAAATTCTACCCTGATTTACTCCCACTGACAGCAGCGAGGCTGCAGTGTCGTTCCGCCCAAAATTTGCCTGAATGAGCTTAGCGGCATTGATGGAGAGACCACAAGAGACTTCTTCTATCGACTCCGTTAATAATACTGCTGCTAATGACATGCCCTGTATTCCTACAGACGTTGCTATCAATGGTTAATATTCTTGGAATCAACCATGGTGAAAAACACTCAAAATTCAGAGTGCCCCCAAAGGCCATAGAAGCCATGTGCTGGCTTCCCTCACAAAGAAGTTATGGAAAGTTGTGCAGCTGACATGTGCACCTGGCTGACATATTCAGCAGGATATTTGGCTTGGATGCTGAACCACTTTTGCCAAAAGTACCTCTCTCATTGTGCTGGTTCGGGATAGAGACTTCATTATATTCCTTCTTTCCTCCCCTAGTGAAAAACAAACTGATTCCCCAGTGCCAGACCCTTGCCAGAATGGAAGCTATTTGGGGACTTTGATCATTAATCAAGCTCTGATAGTTTAGCAAAACTTTGATAACTAACAAAGGGTTCATGAAGGCTTATTTCTTTAACTCTGGTGGCAGATATGGATTGCCATTTTGATTTGCTTGGATGGTAATCTGGCCCATAAAGCTGAAGCGTGATGTGCAAACTGCTTCTCTGGCATGCCCACACTCATGCCATCTGTGTTAGGATAGAACTGAGCCTGCTCAGAAGGTGGTCTGCCAATTTTAAACAGGGCATGGGTGCCAACCACAGATGGATTTGAAAGGATAGCCTCAAGAAGACAGAAATTGATACTTCTGCAGAAAGAAGAATCTCTTGTTGGCAAGAAGCTTGACTTTAAGGCACTTTCTGACCCACTTTCTGGTGGGTCTTGTGGGAATTGGAACATCAATGAATGCTCTCCTCCTCTCTCTCCTTTTACCAGCCCGCCATCCCATCGTGGGAATGCTGTACATGGATTGAGTAATCTAAAGGCATTTTTTAAACCAGCAGCAATCACAGACCTTCATAAATGTTCTCTCTCTCTTCCAAAGGTGAACATCTCTGAAGTGAAAGCTGCACCCCTCAGAAGTATCATAGTATTGTATCTGTCTAGGACGTGGGCTCTGTCACTCCAGGACTTTTTGAAAAAGGCCCAGGAAGAAGCACGCTACAAAAATTCTTGCTTTTTTTCAACCTGTGTAATCAAAATTGCCATCTCAGTTGTTGCCTGGGCATCTAGGCTACTCCACTGTGCAGAAGAGACAGAAGGTGCACA